CAAGCTTGACACAGTTGATGTTTCGTATGTTATTCTGGTAGTCAAACTGAAACATCAACTGTGTCATATGTTATTCTGGTAGTCAAACTGAAAGAGCAACTGTGTCGTATGTTATTCTGGTAGTCCAGCTGAAACATCAACTGTGTCGTATGTTATTCTGGTAGTCAAGCTGAAACATCAGTTGTGTGTATGTTATTCTGGTAGTCAAGCTGAAACATCAACTGTGTCGTATGTTATTCTGGTAGTCCAACTGAAACATCAGTTGTGTGTATGTTTTACCATAAGCCATTCTTACTTTTCCTTCTACTCATACTGAGTTATTCATATACCCAATGGGAAAGATACTCTTTTCAAGTGTCTATTTTTGAAATATAGACAACATATTGGTAATGTATTATTTCGAAAGTTGCAAAAAGAAAAAAGAAATTTAATGGTATCACATTGATGACGCCAATCGTAAGTTCACAGCCACACGTGCACGAAAAAGAAGTGTTGCGAAACAAGATATCAAAGCAGCCGCCAAAATGCCGATTCTTTTTTATCCAATCAAAAACTTCGTTCGTAAAAATGAAAAGAAATGTGGGTAGATTCTCCTTTTGAAAGTTATTCCGTTTATAAAGAAGTCGCGAGCGTTTGTGAGCATTCAATCGGGAATATCTGTACTAAAACCTTACTAGCTAACAGTTGAGTTGTTCGTCATGATAAGCGTTTTTCTGGTTAGTAGAGTAATGATGTAGTAGTCTCGGATTCTGTAGTAACCACAAAATGTATAGCAGAATTAATCTAAATGTCTATGATTCTGATTCTGAGATTGAAGCCAGAACTGACTCTGATTCTGAGTTTGAAGCTCGAACTGACTCTGATTCTGAGTTTGAAGCTCGAACTGACTCTGATTCTGAGATTGAAGCTGGAATCGACTCTGATTCTGAGTTTGGAGCCAGAACCGACTCTGATTCTGAGTTTGGAGCCAGAACCGACTCTGATTCTGAGTTTGGAGCCAGAA